TGAAGATGTCCCTGCCCACGGCAGGGGGGTTGGACTAGATGACCTTTAGAGGTCCCTTCCAACCCAAACTATTCCATGATTCTATGATTCACTTAGCAGGTGGCTGGTGTGCACACCCAGAAATGAAATGGTGATGCTGACCAGTATTTTAACTTGTCAGACGTTTCTCCTGTGACTCAATGGTCTTGTTACTGCGTGTTGGCTTATTGGGAAGCCTTGTAGTGTGTGTGCTGAGTAAAGATAGCTGTCTCTGCCTCTGGGCTGGTGTGCTCTGCAACGCAGATGTCTGGGCTATGTTACCATGAAGGCAAACATGACTGGGCAATCAGTCTACAGTACTGAATCCAGCACTACTGCAGTCTGCCCCAACGTACATCAGCCTCCAGCAACCACAGTGATGATAGACCCTGGGCTCACAGTGAAACTCAGCAACTTCTGTGGACTGTGAATGCAACCGTAGACCTCTCACGAGCCTTCCTGCTCCATGTGCTGCTTACTGTTCATCCGCTGAATGCCTCAGGTCAGCCGTGAGATGCATCCCACATGGGTTTTTAGGAGTATCTGAATGCCTGCTACCCGTGCATTAAGTGACTTGCTCTGCTAACTACTGCATAGTCTCTCATTTTGCTTTGGAGGGAGAGCCCTGCGCTGTCCTGGTGGGTCTGAGTGGGCTGGTTTGTGCTGGAGAGACCCAGGTAGCAGAGCAGGAGGCAGTGAGGGCTGGGAGAAACCCCATCTCCTCCACAGAGCAGTGGGCAGCTCTCCTGAGCCCACCAGCGCGGCTGCTGACCGACATGTCCCTCCTGCTGAGGACAGACGTACCTGTGTCCCAAAGCACTGGTGGGATGTGGGGTAAACACACCCCACGCAAAGCACAGCGAGAGAAGGAGAGCGAGCCAGCTGAGCGTGAGAGCACCGAGCTCTGCTCTCGTGGACGGAAACCTGAGATTTTTATGTGCAACAGGCAGGGCTGTATGTTGGAAGGGGTTTTCTGAGAGACTCCGGAATAAACGGCAGGCACTCAGTATACTGAAACTCACTCTGAGGGCTGAGAATGCCCTCGGACAGGGTGAACCAGTGGCACTTTGGGGTTAAGCTTAATGTAGAGCAAACATGAAAGTGAATCCTTCACTCACTGCTTTCTGGGGCTTGTTCTCTGACAAGTTTGCAGAAACGTCTTGTTTCCCTGTTGTGGTTCAGAGCAGCCTCGTGGGGTCAGGGGTCCGGAGTTTGCTCCTGATCAGGTATTTTATCACCAGGTGCTCGCTCACACAAGCAACCAGTGTTACAGGTAGCAGGGCTTGACACACTGCCAGTTCCTGTCGTGGGTGAGGATTTTTTTGTCCGAGATGCTCAGGGCTGCCCTGCCTCACGCCAGGGCCGTGGGCTGGCTCTAATGGTTATTTGTGTCCCCTCAGTGCGATGAGAGTCAGGCTCCCCAGTGCCGGGGGCTGTCAGGAGACGACCCGTGTTTCTATAGCTGCAGCCTGGTGCTGTTACTGACCCTCCTCCCTTTCCCACGTGCGCATGGTATGGAGCAGAAATGGTAGAAGCACATGGGGTTTTTTGGCATTCATTTCACTTCTGAGTGGCAAACCAGCCTCCGTCTGTAGTGGTGTGGTTAGCTGCTTTCCCTCCCCTCTTGCCGACTGTACAACTGTCTTCAGGCTTGTTTTTCCTGTGGTTTCCTTTGGTGGTTGGTTGTTAAGGGGAAACCATTCAGGGGAGAAGTTAACTATTTCAACTTTTTGCTGAATGTGGGGAAGGGACCAAATAGAAATGTGCAAAGAAAGGAAGGCTCCAGAACAGGAGTCAGCCATGCATATTGTGGCTTTGCCTAAATCCAGAGGAAACACTACACTGCCAGAAGTAAGGATTTTGGGGATGAAATTGCAGTCAAGTCTCTCCTTGCACGTCTCAGACAGTCATCCCAATGGCTCGATAAAGGCATCTGTGTTCTCTCTATTACAGCCATGCAAGAAGGCTCTGTTTTGTTTTATCACATGTCCACAGCGTTGCGCTAAATCTGTTCCTGTGCTGTGCCCTGCTGCCTTGCTCCGTGAGCTCGGGCTTGTAGCAGCGCAGCCGGGGCGGCCAGCCTGACCCTGGCTGAGAACAAACACCCACAGCTCTGCAGTGGGACGGGGCCTTTGATCCCTGATCAGGCACCGTGTCCTTATGGAAAAGGAGGACAAGCGCTTGCTGAGCAGCCAGCGAGGCAAGGCTCCGCAGTCCTGCTCAACCAAATTAACGCAGTCTCTGAAGCAGAACCCCTTAAGCCATAGAGACCCACCGACCTCATCCAAACAAATAACCAGACAAAGGGTGCTGTTGTATCTCAGCCTGAAAAGCATCAGGAGAGAGAGAGGTGTTACTGTTCTGCAGAGAACTGCATCCTCCTTGTAACAGGTACTTTAAGAGTAAAACAGGTTTTCTAACTCTTCCTGCCTTACTTTGTTTATTCTAGGGTGAAAATGTCTTCTTTGTCATGACGAATCTGATTGTGACCCCAAACCAGAGGCAAGCCACGTGTCCTGAGGTAGGAAGAACTGAGCCCCTTGGCCCCCAGACCCCTACAAAACTGGGGGTAAGAACTGACAGAGGACACCTGGGGAGCAACGAACACAGGAAGGATGAAAGGCGAATGGTTTTTCTCTGTAGTATAATATCTCAGTTGGGAAAATCGGACTGGTTACTGCAAACCTGGGAGGTTCAGCTGTCTTAATTTCCAGAGGCACTGATCATCTACAGTCTTGCTGACTTTAGTTGAAGGTGTTGGATGTCTGCCCAGCTGGAGATGAGACCAGAACAGTGATTGCTCAGGGTCAGAAAAGGCCATAGGAAAACAACTGTGAGGTGTCTCGGCCTAGTTATGGGTAGAGGAGATTTTTCTAAGAGCCCCATCCTGGGAAAGGCTGAACATTCAGACTTTCGTTACCTTCAGGACATGGGAGGGTGCTTAGTACCTTCCAGAACGTGCCTTACGGGCCAGAGGCGTGAGGTCTTTCCGTGTCACATTGAAAAGTCCCCTGTGGAGACGTGGTTCAGAATGGGCTGGAGCCTGGGGGAGGAGGACGCTGGCTGTCCAGGGAGTGTTGTCTCCATGTAGCAGAGATTAATTTTCCACATCACAAGCAGAGGGGTAGCCCAGGCCGAGAGCACAGCTTGCTTGTTCAGGGCACGGCTGTCCTCTAGTGGCTGCATTAACCCGGCGTGCAGCCGAGAGAAGGGTAATTTTGAGCTCGGGTAATTTTGAGCTCGGAGAGCTTGTAGCTTAAATCAAAGGTAGGGTTATCTCTTGAGGTGAAGTACTGTGGCCTCCTGCTTGGTTTTGGTGAGTGATAGGTGGTGTCTGAGTTTTTCCACAGCCCGTCCCTCTCCAGACTGAGCAGAGCCCAAAAGCAGGACATTGTAGCTGAACCATGGTGTTGCTGGTGGTGTGATGCTGTCGAGCTATCTGCATGTGACCTGCAGTTACCACTTCAGCTGCAGGTTTTCGGTGTTCACCATCCTATAGAGCATTCACCCCACATCAGCAGCACTTCCTTACCCGTCCGAGTCTCGTGTCCTGTCACAGGTCTCACTTCTGTCCTCTTCCACTTTGCAGAGCATCAGCATTCCCAATGCCCTGTGTTACAAGGATGGGGACTGCCCGGCAGGGGAAGCAGTGGTGGCTGGCAATGGTAAGGGAAGGGTCCCTCCTCCTGTACTGTGTCTGGTAGAGGCAGGTTCCTTCAGAGGCATCGGCCTGGTTACAGCCCCAGAGATCTCTGATTACAGAGAGCGGCAAGGACTCTCTTTTCTTTACTGTCTTTTATTAAGATTGCTGCCCTGCTTACAGCTCTGTGGTGGCTGGGCCAGAGCATCCTGGGGCTGCTCAGAGAAGCAACAAGAGAGTGGCTGTTGCAGCTGAGAGGCCCTTTCACAGCAGGGAGGAGGGCTTAGGGTGGCAGTGAAAAGCATCTGATTTTCATGTGCCCTGTAGGCAAGGAGAGGAGGTGGCTGCTCTGTGTGACCTTTTCTGTGATGTCTGTGCTGCAGGGATTAAGACTGGCCGTTGTTTGAAAGACAGGGACAGCATCAGAGGGACTTGTGAGATACTGGCCTGGTGCCCAGTGGAGAAAAGATCCAAGCCCAAGTACGTGACCATTCAAGCTTGAGTTGCTTGGCTTGCGTGTCACTCAGGGCGGTTTCTGGGTTCCCTCTGCTTGGATGCTTGCTTGAACGTTGGCTGTTCCAGTGCAGGAGGGAGCTCTGCATGGCCCCCTGGTGCGACTGGCCCTCTGCTCCCCCCTGCTTGGCTCACTGGCTGTCCCAGAGTTGTTTCCAGCTCCCAAGGCTTCCTCTCAACCTGCACGCTCCTCACTAACTCCTTGCTGGCAGTGTGGGGAAAGTGGCATGGCTGGCCTAGCACCATGGGATGAAACCTAGCTGTTTCTAAAATGTCAATTCCAGTTTAAACATGTGGGCAGGGTACGAACGTAAAACAGATAACAAACCTTTCTCTTCCAGGAAACCACTTCTCGCCAGTGCAGAAAACTTCACTGTTTACATCAAGAACTCAATCCGCTTCCCCAGGTTTAAGTTCTCCAAGTAAGTGCAGGTGCTTGGAGATCACTCTGTCCTCTCCATCACAGAACCGATAACCTCGGTTTGCTCCACTGTCCTTTCCTGCCTGCGGGTTGGGGTGGGGAGGCGGATATTCCCTCTTCTAAGGCGCAGGGAGAGGCCTTTGGCTTCAGGCTGTGTGGGAACAAGGAGATAACGAGGGCTTGGAGCTTCTCACAGAGCAACTGGCATAAAGCTGTCCTTCACCAAATGAGGTCTGTGATGGCTCCTACAGTATGGGATGCAGCAGAGCTTCTAAAGCAGATGGATCTGTCCACCAGCCGGCGTGTAGTCAGGTTCCTGAGCTGCTTCGGCTCCCAGATATTCCTCCTCTTCCATAAAAATGAAGGTGCCTGGACAAGGCTGGGAAAATGCAAATTTAAAAATACTTGTTTGCATTTGCTGCTACAATATGAACAAAATAAGGAGTGTGTTCTTGCTATTCTCCCAGGCTCAGCTAGATGTTTCTAGTGTCTTTATTTTTTTTCCTTGAGAAAACCAGGTGGCCCTGGAGCACCCTGGCAACCTGCTCTATGTGAGTCCTTTCTTGAGCCCAGATTCAGCTGGCCTAGTCCCTGTCTGGCCTGGAGGTCATTTTTGTGCGGGCAGACTGCTTTCCCTGGGCCAGCAGCGGAGAGGCTCGCAGGGTGACGAGGCTGGTGGCAAGGTGCCATTTCTATTGTGCACTAGGGGTGTTGGAGAGGTCTCTTGTCTCTGCAGTCTTGGTGGTGTAGGCTGTGCAGGCAAGTAGAGAGGGAGACAAGGTGGATTTCCCTCTTCCCTACATGCAGGATGAATGTGCTGGCAACTGACAATGAGTCCTACCTGAAGAGCTGCCGCTACAGCACGGAGCATCCCTACTGCCCCATCTTCCTCCTGGGGAACATTGTCCGGTGGGCTGGGAGCGACTTCCACGAAATGGCCTTGGAGGTAGGAGTGCCCCTCAGGCTCATGTGTCTTCCCAGCTGGCCGTACCGCTCGCTGGGTGGCCGTGAGGAGAGCCACTGGTGACTGCCCAGGGAACTGCCCCCTGTCCAGGGTGCAGTGGAGAGACGCTGGTTCTTAAAATCATGCTGGTCCCATTTATCCTGTCCCCAGGGAATGAGAGGCAGGGCGATGTAGGTTCTCTGGAAGAGATGGTCGGGTCAGTTATCTGTTTTTCAGGCCTGCCCAAACTGCTGCTCTGCCAGCAGGGTTTCTTTGTTTAATTTCAACATTACTATCTCATCGGTTTAAACCCAGAACTCTGGAAGGCCACTGGGGCTTCTCTGCTCAGAGAATGTGCTGGGAGGCTTCCCCTGCAGCGAACGGGCATGTTTCTGCATAGGGTCCTGGGGCTGCAGCGCCAAACAGGCTGCGACCCAGTGTGCGAAGCACAGGGCGGAAGATGGAGCCAGTCTGAGGCATGCCGGGAAGCACAGGGTGAGAAAAGTGCAGGCTTTGTGCTGGCTTCTGCACTTGTGAACTTTAACCCTGCATAAAAGAGCATCTTCTCCTTTGAAGTATGTTACAGCCACTTAAATTAATGAAACCAGTGTGCTGGGATGAGAAACCTCCTCCTAGGATATCGGCACAGGGAAAGCTAGGGTTGTGTGTAGAGTAATGTGACTAATACCATAAGCATGAACTTAGCCCATCCAGGAGTGTGTGTGCTTGTGTCTGTGACCAGAAATGCAGCTGTTCTTGTCCCTGGGGAAAACTTGCCCAAGGATCTGACAAATTTGAAGACGCATTAATTGAACTAAGCTTAAAAAACTCACACTGTCTCTCTCTTTCATTAAGGGTGGTGTGATAGGAATTCAGATTGAATGGAACTGTGATCTTGATAAAGCCCCTTCTGAATGTAATCCTCACTATTCTTTTAGCCGGCTGGATAACAAGTTTGCAGAAAAGTCCATCTCTTCTGGGTACAACTTCAGGTAAGTAAAGAGGAGACTACGATGCAGTACCGCAGTCAGGCTGAGCTGGTTGGTCTCGCAGGCATTAGAGGTTGGCAGTGAAGCAGTACCAGATCAGACTGTGGCAGGCACTGCCCCAGCCAAGCACACTGCTTCAGTGGAGGGAGGGAGTCATGCTCGTGGCAAGCTGAAGCTGGTTTTGATGGGGGAATAGATCTGTTCGAAGAGATAGGTGAATTCAGATGAATTCTTGGGGGGGGGAGGGCAGGTGATGGAGTTAAAATCAACATTGTTGTATTCCAGGTTTGCCAAATATTACCAGGATGCTGAGGGGGTCGACTACCGGACACTCATTAAAGCGTATGGAATCCGCTTTGATGTGATGGTGAATGGCAAGGTGAGGTCCCAGGCCAGAATATTTCAGAGCCTGGAGAGAAAAAAGATGGGGGACATCTCTCAGTGGGAAGGCAGCTCTGGGATGAGAACAGTCTCTCTGGCTTGTTGTAGGAAAGGGCTCTTGCTATTCATCCATGTGGAGCTAACCCTACCTAAGAAAGGAGATGACCTGGAGTACGATGAGTCTGCATCTCTTCCACCTGAAAACAGGCTCATGTAAAGTCCAGCAGAAGTAAATATGCCCCAGAGACTTGTTTTCCATGCGTATGCACTGCAGGAAAAAGAAGTCTAATCCAGGGATGAAGCAAGCACAGAAATGCAGCTGTGGGCAGTTGGGTCTGAGACACAGACCTTCAGCCTCCAAGATTTTTCGCTGCAAATCTATGGTTGTGCCTGCTTGTTGCTAACAAAACACACCCACAGGCACTAGTAGCTTCCCCTGTGTAATACCACACCCTTAAGTTTGTTTCTTGCGTTGTTCTTTCACCGAGTACTTCATGACCTTTTTTCTTTTAGGCAGGGAAGTTTAACATCATTCCCACCATTATCAATATTGGGTCAGGGCTCGCTCTCATGGGAGCGGTAAGTGAATGTATTTTCTTAAAGTAACGTATTGGGACCCAGATCCCTCATTTAGCTGTTACGAGGATAAAATGGGATGGTTGGTTTGTATCTTCTCCAGTGGAGTTTTTGCTACACTGACTGCTCAGTCAGGTGTGTGTCTGCGTCCTGTCTGAAAGGCATTTGTTAATGTACCCTGTAGTCTAAATACCCCTAAGATTACATGGAGTATGAAGGAAAATACAGCTCCTACAAGTTACTCTTCTTTAATTAACGCTCGTTGCTAATTAGATCGGAACACTTCCTCTTCTACTCTAAAGATAAAACACAAGTTCTTTCTGTTTGCAGGGAGCTTTCTTTTGTGACCTGGTGCTGCTGTACCTGATTAAAAAGAGTAACTTTTATCGAGGCAAAAAGTACGAGGAAGTAAAGTAAGTGGGCTTGGCTTTTGTGTTTAAACGTAATGGCTTTATTGTTATGACTAATAGAAATAGAAGAGATACGGGAACACAGTAAACATTAATGGCAAACGAAGGCCAATTCCAGGAAATTAAATTCCTCCAAATGACTTTAGCCAAGTTCCTCCCTCCCTACGTAATTCATTGCTGCAGTTAGCTGGGGAGCAAAGGAAGCTGCTGTGTCATGGTTGGACTACAAATGGTCTTGCACTGTCGGTCCATAATGGCTGCGGGTGGAACTGGGGCGGCTCCAGAGCCTCGTGAAACTGAGAACTGGGGCTTTATCTGTACGGAGGGCGATGGCCTTTGTGGTAAGGTGTGACAGGCCTGGCTGGGAACCTCTTGCCCACGTTGCTTCCTGAAACAGAAATAGCCTGCTTGCCTCATCTGCCACCTTTGCTTGTTTCCTCAGGTCCAGTTCCAGGAAATCGTTATCTAGCCCTGCGCTGAATGGGAATCAGAGCCCTGACCAGCTCGACGGGCTCTAGGCACGCGGATGGGTCTGCCAGCTGGACTCGTGTTCCCGGAAAACCACACAGGTGTGAAATCACACCAGGACTGGGAGGTGGAGATACCCCAGATCAGGTCTACTGTCTATTATCGGGATTCCCAGAGGAAAAAAAGTCCTTTAAAGACCGCCCTTCTTTCCCTGAGATGTTCTCTGGTATCCTGAGCTTGCAACAGTGCGTCGTCACTATGGATTTATAAAAGGATTTTATAAAAGGAAAAAGAAGGCACCAAATGAATGTTTTTATATCTGTTGATAGATATATCTGTACCTACGTCAATAGCCAGCGTTATCCTGTGGCTGCGCTTCACTTCCATGTGCGGAAGAGCCGTGATGTGAAACACCACCGGCACTTTGAGGAGGGCTGAGGCCGAGATTCAACCTATCCCCTGCTCCACTAGCTTGCGGCCACCGCTTCCAACTCTCGCTTGTGTTACTTGCAAGATCAGATGTAAAGCAGCAGGACTGCTCCTGTCGGGAAGTGCAATGAAACGCAGCGTTTCAGCAGCTCTCAGAGCCCAGGGGAAAGGGGCTTGTTATCCTACAACGCCCGTGCTGACTGGGCCTGTGTCAGTGTGGGCGCAATTACTCTTATTGGGGGAGGGGGTGTAACCATTAGGGCTAGAAACGGTGCTCCTCCAGGAAAAGCCTTCGCAACAGCTGCAACAAGGTGCTCTGCTCGTCTCAGGAACAGCAGGAGAAGGTCCTGCCGCAGCTCTGGATGGAGAATCAGTTCAGCCATGGCTGGGTCCCAGCTACCTCACCCGCTACCCACCATCTCCGTTTGTAGTTGGCCCAGAGAACCGACATGTCAGAGCACAGAACAGGTGACAGCAGGCAGAGGAGTATTTTGAAGCAAGGCAGGGACAGATGTTTTTGTGGTTGACATTGGGGGGGAAAAAGAGGGTTAATGCACTGAAAAGCAACGTGGCACTGGGAGTATCTGCACAGAGACGGTCTTGGGTTCTCCCTCCTTTGTTTCATGGCTGGTTTAATTTGCTCGGGGTTGTCCTTTCTGCGTAATTTGCCAATTGCTCATGGTGGCGAGAGATCTGGATGGGAGACTTAATGCTTCTGCTGTTTTCTCATAGTACCCTGAACCATACTGCAGACACTGAAAAGAGGAGCTCTGTCAGGTGAAACAGACTTTGCCAGGTTCTTCCAAATATACCAACAGGAGGAAAATTTAGAAGACAGATATCTGCTACTTCAATGCTCTGGTAACTTCCAAGAACTACTAGTGCTTCTTTGTTTCTCAGTAGAGAAATAAATATCATTGGAGCCCATTTTGTGCATTTATGCTCACGTGCTCACTAATCTCAGAAGAGAGAAGTGCTTATGCAATATCATTGTTTAAAGTTTGCGTTTGCTTGAGCTGACAGGAACCGACTCACCAGCTTCTGAAGACAGTAGGTGAATAAATATTCCTGCCTCATTTAAAGTTTCCACACCATGGCTTGGTGCAAACTGATCAGTGTTCTGTAAAACGCTGCCAGGTCGCCATTGGCCAGGAGTCATTGTCATAAAGATTAAGTGTTTCTGTGCACTCTGAATATCAAGATTTAAAGGACTCCTGCTGCAGGGTCCTTACATACTGCTAGGACAGCTTTAGAGAGGGTGGCATTACAGAGAGCTGCTGAGATCGAGTGTCCTGCACAAATGGAAACAGCAAGCTGCACTCACCTTTGCTTTAACTTCTTTAAGGTGGTTACTCCGAGGTACAGGTTGATTCTAAATTAAAATTCACCTTTGTTAGCAGTGGCAAACTCTGAATCCAGTCACTGATAGCAAACCCCACCCAGTCCAGTCCACTCCCTCTGCTTCTGTTCAGATGCAAGTAATTACTGAGTCAAACATTTAGCTAGAAAACAGAATTAAACACTGGACTTAAAATAATTTAGGATAAGCTGCAATCACATCCAAAGCCTCCTTTCTTCATGCCAGAAGTCTCTCCTCTAGGCAAACACGAGTCACCATGTGTTTGACTGCACTAGTCAGGCCTACTAGAATTACCATGCCAATAAAACAGCACAGGCTCTTGACTGTCAGAGCTTAATTCTATTTGAATAATTTCTAGACGGTGAAACACATGGTGAACCCTGCATGTGACATCAGGCCAAGGCACAACTCATGGAGACCAAGTAGCTCATCGTAACACGTAAAGCTGACCGTGCTCTACTGAAACCAATGTTTCAACTTGACAAAACAACATCCTGTTGTTAGATGACCAAAGCCATTTTCTGAATTTAAGACTTCAGGGGCTTGAGGCCCCCAAAAGTCCCTAGAATATTTCCCTTCTTTATACCCTCTGTTTAACACAATTCCCACCACCATTGCTGTTGATAAAACATAACCAGAGTCCTTCTCAGGAGCTTGTTTCTTTGATTTTTTTTTTTTTCCTCATTGTATTTCATGTACAGCAATAAAATGTGTCACTTTAGGGCAATGCTCTCCAAGACTCTTCTGTACAGTGTGGTTTTTAGGTTGCACACACCACCTTTTCTTTGTGATACATACTTACAAACAGCTCTATAGCAAAGATACTACGTGTACGGTGGGTGATCGAATTTTCCTTTCTGTTCCTGCCAGAGACATATGGAACCACAACAATGCACTGTTCAGTTACAAAAAGTGCCAGCAGGCTTCCAAGTGTGTTCAGTACAGGCTGAGCTGGCAGGTAATAAGACGCTGCACTTACTTGGTTGTCTGCATTGCATTGGACACAACGGTACTAAAAAGGAGCAAAGTGTTTTGACTTGTGAGAGCACTACTTAATGTACTTTTGTATATGCCAGTGAAGAGCATCTGTGACAACGATGTCATTTATTGATAGCATGTACATACAGCAATTGTGGAAGTAACGTTTGCACTAGCAACTCAATTACATTTCTGTACCAAAGCTTTACATACACTTAATTACATGCTACTGTGCAGTATTTCCTTGTGTCAGTGCATTATTTTTTAAGAGTGCCGTGTTACACACTGCTTTCATCAGTATTTGTGTGTAGGGACAGGCAGCAAATCTAGAAGGGACTGTAATTGTTACATCTTATTCAAAACGCAAAGGATACAAGGGACTACATTAACCAAAACCCATGGCTGTGCCTGCAATTAGGGACAGAAGTTATTCCTTAACCACCAAACAAATATTCACGGGAGGCACCCGAGTGATGTTTCACATTCAGTTTAATTAGAACAGTACTACCGATTCATTTGTACTTGGCCATAATTTACTGACAGTATTAACGAGTGATGAACAACAGTTGAAAAGGTAAGCTGGCCTAGTTGGGTAGATGACTTTTGGCAACAGTCCTCCTGCTTCATTAAAAACCACTGCAGCTAGTGCGGCTCCTAGTTGTTTTAGTAGACGTGAACCATGCCGTACAGGAAAGTCCAGAACAGGACATATGTGAAGAGCCCTCCTATAAGCCCCCCCGTGAAAAGCAGCCTTCGGGATTTAAAGTACTTATTCCATCGCCGTCCGGCTTTTAACACCAAGAGCACGGAGAGGAGGACGGAAGCCAGGAAGTAGAAGATGAAGCCGTGCAGGCCGGTCAGGCCGAGGATCCCCGCCGTGGCGCCCGACAGGGCCGAGACAGACGTCCTGCAATAGTCCAGGATGGCGGCGTTCCCCCGCACCGCCGCTTCGCTGATGAACTGCGGACAC